GGCAACCTTAGTTATGAATATTATATTTTTGATATTCGATATTAGAAATTTTTAAAAATTTGAACATATAGATCTAAAAGAATTCAAATAAAAAAAATTTCATGAAATTTGGTCAATTAAATTTATAAAAAATTTTTTATTTTTGATAGACATTTTGAAGATTGAGTGAAGATATCTTACCAATCACTTAACTAAATTTAATGATTTTTTATTCAATTAGATTCTATGATCTCCAAGAATAAAAATTAAAAATTTACATTGAATTTGGTTAGATGAATATTGAGATATTTTCGATCAAAGCCATGAAAATTCAGCCTGTTCGAATAAAAAATTTTCATCGAATTTAATTAGGCAGCATTTTCAATCAAAAGTTTTTAAAAAAAAATTCTTTTTATAAAAATTAAAATTAAATTATTCTCCTATGTGAACAATTTGTCATTTGCATGTTTTCAATTAGTTACACTACAGAATTGGTGAAAAAAATTATAATAGAATAATAATAATGATATCAAAATTTAAACCAAAAGACCAGAACTTTGAAGACCAAATGGTGAGCTAATTTGTTATACAGATTAAGCCAAATAAAATAGATATTTTGATAAATTTTTTAAGCTTAAAAATTATAAGATATATTAAAAAGTTCGTTCTCTTGTACAAATTAAATTTATTTTGGACGAATCAAGTCTCCACTAATTGTTATAGAGTGTTTATTAAAATCATTTGATCAAGAGGCTTTTATATAAAATGTTTGAAATTAACTTTACTAGATTAAGAACTTAATTTCTTCAACCAAATTTTAAAAAAACTTATCAGTTACACATGTAACTATTATATAAGCAATCGTGCACTATTACTAAGGAACCAATTTTACATTTGGAGCATTATCAATTAACCACTTTCGCGCTGCTACAAGATCACCATTTTCAACCTCTAATGCATAAACACAAAATTCGTCCGCATACTCTCCTTCAAAGCTTTCTCCATCTTCACCTTTATATAATATATTTGCAAGTGTGCGTTTGCTCGTTGTTAACTCATCTACGCAAAAATACATAAAAGCTGTAGTAGATGATTGAAGTTGTTTTAAAAGAGGTGTTAAGGATAATGCTGCGGTAGTAGCATCCTGTGGTGTTGAATTTCCTGTAGCACAGTACTAAATTTTTAAAATGTATGATCAAAATTATATTAATAATAAGAACGGAATAAATTTTATATAAAATAATGAAAATATCTTACCAAATTTTTGCACCATTGTTGCTTGCATCCGGTTGTTAGTTGTGAATGATATTTCCTAGCAACTCTCGTATATAACATTTTTTTCTCTGGATCTGCTGTTGGCGACCAGAATGGTCCGAAACATGTAGCGCATAATTTAAGTACATTATCAGCTGCGGTTCTCACACAATTTTTATTCCTACAAAGTGGTGGCAATCTCTTATTTTGTTTTTCGATCTCGTGCTTCATATTATGAGTTGCAACATTTTTTAAGATAACCGGTTGGTGACATTTCAAGCAAGTAGTAGTACGTCCTCCACAATAAGATTCATGTGCTGTTAAACCTTCAAGTAAATCGTGTTGGTTAGTTGATGGATCACCTTGTTTAACAAGGTTAAGACAGAATCTACACGTGATTAGTTTTTCAGGACACGTGGTCCGCTTGTGTTGAGCCAATTCTGGAAGCGATTCAGTCTCAAATCTGCAGGAACACTGACGAATCGTATGAAATACAAATTGGTGCTTTTCTTTCTCTGAAAAATCACCGGACTAAAATAATATACAAAGTTAGTCTTGTTTCTATTCCCAAAATTTCCTAAATTAACATTATTATTTACCTTATTACAATATTCGCAATGCCAATGTTTTTGTTCTTCACCTTTCTTCATTACTTTTCCACACAATATACATTTAATGTTATTCCTTAGACAAAAACTCGAATGCAGGGCAATAGTGCGTTCAGGTATCCAACTCTCACAATTGTCGCATTTAATATACCCAGGTGAATTTTCGTTTACATGACTTGTTATGGCATTTTCTGAATTATGCGAGTTAGACGGTTGATCAGAAGGTGTGATTTCCAATTCGTATGACGCTGGCTCATCACCAAATCCGTGGATACCGATAAAAAGTTCGTTACTAGTAGCATATTCTGAATTCGACGACGGAATGAATATATTTTTCGTTGATGCGGTTTCAAAATTTGACCAGAGATGTGAATCAAGCGTAGGATTGCGAACGGTTGATATGATAAGATCTGAATTCATTTGATTTAATGGACGATAAGCCAATATCTGTAAGAAAATTATAATAAATAAACTAAAATAACCCAAACAATTTTTGATAAATATTAATAAACTATAATAATACCTGCATCCCCAGTATGAATCCTCAACTCTATATTTAATCCATGAAGTTTGTCAATTCCTAATACATTCCAATATCCATAAACATTTTTGCTAACTTTTCCATTTGCAACTTTTCCAACATGTATGTCGTTTTCTATATCACCTTTAAAAGTTTTGAAAGCATTGTGGGCCTCAAGTGGTTCTATCTCTAATTCTAAGTCTGTATCTACGATTCTAACAGCATTTGAGGGTTTAAGAGATTCCACCAAAAATTGGTACGAAGTATCAGCTTGCTTTATGGTTAGAATTTCACCTGCGGTTAAAGTAGTATAATGAGATCTCAAATATCCTTCAAATGCAGCTCTTTTGAAAAAAAAAAAAAAATTATTACAGAAATAAATAAAAATTAGTTAATGTATAATATAAAAATATTTGCTAAATTTAACTCACCTATAATCCGAAATTTCTTTGTAATCTGTATTCATTGGACGGAATCGAGCCCATGTACCTTTAGGCAATTCCTTTAATCGGATAATAACTTCCGAACCATTAGTAAGTGATAACGAATCGTGCATCCATTGTGGTAAGTAAGCTTTCTCGTCCTTTGCGTTAAATTCAAGGACACCACCATGAGTTATTAATCTTGTTCTTGGATTAGTGATCTGAAAAGTTATAGGATAAGGAAGTTGTGCATCCGAGAAATCACTGGGTACGGATTGACTGGCCGTTCGTAAAAGTTCTTCGAGTACAAAAGGTGGAAGGATAAGTTTATCACCTTCTAAATCTGAAATAACAGATCCAGACACTAATGTTCTTGCATAAGAAAATGACATTTTTATGTTGTCGAGAGCTTTCTTCAAGTTTGATTATTGGTATTATTCAATTAAATATATATATGTATATATATATTTTTTTTTTAGTGATTACTAAATATTCTGGAAAAAGCAAAACGTAAATAGCATCTTCTAGAATATTGCGTATCTATTTGAGGGTTCGCTCTGATTGGGCGATAATCAATATGGCCTTAGTCATGTCATACGACTTTTGAATCGTAAGCTTATATCATACTATAAATAAATTAGAGATTAATAGTTATCAGCAGTGATGGAAATTCAAATTTTAATAAAACATAAAAAACCAGTCTGAATATCCAACACTGGTTATCAGTTATTGTATATGGGTCTGGCGTAACAACTCGTGCGTCACTTAACGATAATAATAATTAAATATAATATAAAAAAAACTTTTGTATTAATAATCCTTCGCCCAACCAATTACAATTTATAAAACATCAGTCAATTTCAATATTAAAGAACATCCAACTAATTGAAATCTTCATTCCAGCAATTACAATTTTTTTTAAAAAAAACACCAAAGGGTTCGCTCCAGCCAATTAAAATATTTAAAACGCCTGACTAATTGGTCTTCGTTCCAGCCAATTACAATTTTTTTAAAAAAACACCAAAGTCCTCGCCCCAGCAAATTACAATATTAAAAAACGTCCTATTAATTGAAGTCTTCGTTTCAGCCAATTACAATTTTTTTTTTTTTTTAAAAAAAAAAAACACTGTGTTCACTACAGCCAATTACAACATTAAAAAAATCCGACTAGTTGGTCTTCGTTCCAGCCAATTACAATTTTTTTTTAAAAAACAACAAAGTCTTCGCCCCAGCCAATTATAATATTAAAAAAACACCCAACTAATTGAAGTCTTCGCTCCAACCAATTACTATTTTAAAAAACACTCAACGATTTTAAGTCTTTGTTCCAGCTAATTACTATTTTTTTTTTAAAAAAACACAGTACTTAATTGAAGTCTTTGCCTAACCAATTACTATTTTAAAAAAACCAACTAATTAAAGTCTTCACTTCAGCCAATTATTATTTTAAATAATTACAATCTTAATTATAAAAAGAACCTACCTATTGAAGTCGTCATAGTTTCAGGTAAAAACTGAATTCTTATAAAATAACCAAATTTATACGTCTATATAAAAATAATGTGTCACATGATTTTCAGTGAATAAGCTTTCGAAAAAAAGCATAAGATCCATATAAATATATAATATCTAATATCAGATATTGCATGAGGCAATACACTAGAAAATACATAAATTTGCAACTTTTTACATAGTTCGACGCAGCTGTTATGGAAATTACACTTTTTTGTAACATGACCTAGCTTCGTACTTAGGCTGTTTGCATTTAAAACTTAACATAGAGTTCCAATCCGGATAAATCCGCCATTCATTTATCCATATCCGAATTTATCCAGATATCCATTTACTATTTGTATCCGGATAATCCGACAAATATTCGGATAATTATCCAGATATCAATAGTAAAACAGATACCCGAATAAATTCAGATCTGGATATCCGATAGATAAATGGATAAACGGATAATGGATCGGAACTCTAAATGTATCTATATTTGAATCTTTATATATCGATATATCAAAATCTAATACAAATTTAGAAGTGATCATTAAATTCCTTCACTACTAACCTTTCATTAAGGTCTTTGATGATCAGTGATTATCAAATCATCTGACCAACAAAAAAAATCTGTGAAAAAAAACAAATCATAAAAAAACAGAAAATAAATACTATCTAAACTTAGAATAAAGTATATAAAAAAGTAATAAAAACACTTTTTGCATATTTTAAACAAAATTTAAGCAAAGAATTTATTCTAGTAGGTTTAAACAGTACTTGGAATTTAATTCGGACCTATATTAAATTGTCAAATAGTATTAGTATCGTATCTAAGATTCGTATTTAGGATACTATAAAAGTGAAAGATAAAAATTTTCTTTCTGAGAATAATGAAGAAACTTTGGCCATTGATCTTACGCTGAAACTGGAATAAACCAACTCAAAATGCAGAAAATCAACACACTATATAAAAATCTCTACGTAATAATAATTGGCTTATTCAGCAATCGAAAAAAAAAAATAGAAAGGGTTAAATCTTTGACGATCAGTGATTATCATTTCATCAACCCAATAAAAAATCCTACAAAAAAAAATGGAAAATCCAGACAATCTAATGAACATTACGAAAATTCACATCGGGCAACCAGTATTTATGCCAAAAAATCATTCTTTTACTATCATTTATTATTACATCTGTAAATTAATGCGGTCCTGGGTTTTGTTTTCGTTCATTATGTAGCACTGGTCACATTAAATATCGGGACATAATATATGCTCACATGCACAAACAGGTATAAGGTGTGAAATGGCATGCGAAAAATAGGCAACGCATAACAGTATATGATGAACAGAGTCACAAGGACCAATCAAGTGCTGAGAATTGTACACGCATATTAACTTGCCTGTAAACCATACACTACGTTGTACGTTGTACAAACTCCGTTCCTGATAAAATGGTTAAGCCAGAAAAAATCTAAATGCTATCTGTTTTAAATATAAAATGTTAATCAATAAATTCTACTCTAACATATTTATATAATTATTGTTATTATAAATATCTTAACGTGTTAAAAATTAATATAGGTCAAGAAATGTTAATATTAAAAAATTTACCAAACCAGTTATTAAGTTAATTTCATATAAATTTTTTAATCCTAACTATAAGCTTATTCAAACAAAGTCTTGATGTAATTTATTCATGATAGAAAGATTATCTAAAGCCAAATCGGTTTGATATACATTAAAATGCTTATAATACTGTATGAGCTTAAGAACCAAACTTAGATAAAGTAAATAAAAATATTTAAGATTCAATTATATCGGCTTTTCTGGCTTTTCTCCGTTAAGATGTTGAATAGGTTCATCATGACACTTTTTTATAATAATTCTAATTAAAATAATTAAAACAGCGCTGATGATAATAAAAATAACAAGACAAGCTACAACAATTCCAACAATACCTCCTATACTTAAATTGGTATTATTACTGTTTGCATTATAATAAGAAGAATTATATATACTAAGAACCAGAGGACCACCACAGATTTCTGAACTATTGCCTACACAACTAGAACTACAATCTTCGATTGATAATCTGCTTATACTATCAAAATTATTGGCGCAGAAACATTGACTTCCTATCTCAAGTCCCGCGTATGCGAAACCATTATTCCAACAAAAACCCAAGCAATTTGAAACTGTCATATTAAAAAGATCACGTGAAGTACCATTTAAAACTCTTTGATTACAGTATTGGCTTTCTTTAAAACATCCTAGGTATCGAGAGTCTTTACTAAGATTATTAATTATTTCAGACTTTTGATTAATACTCATATTATTAGGTACTGTGTAACTTGGAATACTATTTAAGACGTTGTAAACTGTAAAGCTATTTTTCCCACCACATATATAGCTTGAATTACCAACGCACGTTAGATTACAATTTTGATTAATTAATGTGCTATCAGTTAATTTAGTATATGCGTCTAAACCAGTTTTGTTACCACATCTACATGTGTTGGAATTTGTAAGGGCTGCAAAATTATAAAAATAGTCCGCACAATGAATAATACATAAACCGGGGTCCATTAAATTTCCATCCTGATCTCTATATTCTTTAATATCGAGACTATCTGCTAAGGTCGCGTTTAAAATATAACAACCTAAAGGATTGTTTGTAGGATGATTTCTTCGAGTTAAATTTCCAACGCATTGCCCAGGTTCATTTAATCTTTTATTAAACGTTATTCCGTGTGATTTAATTTCAGCGAAAGTAGGTGTGAAAAGAGAGATTAATAGAACCAATAAAGTAAAAAAAGCCATTAATCGTTTTTGCATAAATTTAGTTAAAAACTTTTTAAGAGCTAGTGTATATATAAAAAAAAAAATTCAATTATGATATGCAAATTTATTTATTAGGGGTTTTAAAATTTAAAATCAGACACTTATTTTTTCGAAAGAACCAAATAATGTATTTTTTCAAAATAAACGATTTATAAAGTCTATTTTATATTAAATGTAAATTTATTTACCTATAGTATTATATTTATTAGCGACAGTTTTAATTAAATCATCAAAAAAAGTTTAATTTAAACACTGCTACGTATTTCATTTTCCGATTTCAAAATTTTAAAATATAAATACGATTTTGTAATACGTTAATTTTGAAACTCCTTAATCTTAATTTTTTTTAGAACAAATTTAAGGGGTGCTCTAATTCCGCCACCACTTCACTATCGGAATAGAAAAAATTTGACAAATACTCCGCTAAGTGAATTAGAAGTATAGCCAATTAGAAGTGGTGGGTAAATTAGCGTTAGTAAATTAATCAAAATTTAAGTCAAATATGGTCATCCCGGATGTACTATCTACTGACGTAGTACCATGCACGATTTCTCTTATCTGAATTATAATTTTATAGTTTTTATAGTTTATTATTTTTATTATTTTTATTGTTTTTATTATTTTTATTATTTTATGTAAAATTATCAATATAAGGGATGCCTTTTTTCCTTCAATAAAAGTATCTCAGTTTTGAGAATCCAGATCCTTTGCCTAATAACTTCAAAAAGTCCCAATACCGCATTCGTTAATCCATAATTACTCCCCTCCCGATAATAAAGAAACCGCTTCTATAAGTCAAGTAGATCACCTCCTGACTTATTAGAAATCGGGACTAAGATAACGTGCCACATGACCCCGAAGACCAACCAACTAGGATAATCCTAAAACTCGGACCAAGTCTTCCATGCCGTCTTTCAGCCTTCCAACTTAGGGTTGATTGGGTTGTATATTCGTACCCGAGCCTGTGTTTGGCATAGCCTCCGGTCAAATTCGAACCAGACCTTTTCAACGTACAATTAATTAAAAATGCTACAATGCACGTTAAATTAAAAAAGTAATTTTAATGATATACTGTATAGTTTGTTTTTTTTATAGAAAAAATCAATTCATTAAATCACTTTGTCTCATTCATGCTTATCTATAATTGAACAACACACAAAATATTATATTTGGTTACATTTAGTGATGCCAACTAAAATGTTTTATTAAAACGGTATGTTTTAGGTTTTGTGTCACATGATACAATGATATTAGAGTTAAAAAACTGTTAAAAATAAAATCAAATAAATTTAGGGAACGTCTATTTCCACCATAGTAATTTGCTATTTCCACCATAATTAATTATATAACAAATTATTAAAATTAAATACTCTAAACTAATTCTAGTTCCGTCCATATGGTGGAAATAGCAAATTTTCATGGTGGAAATAGGCGTTCCCTAAATTTATCAGATTAAACAGTACAAACTTATGACATAGCTAGTTTATATTTTTATCAAGTTTTGTAATGATAGTGCATAAGGTTTAGGAATTAATGAAAAACGGCGTATTTTGAAAAAAAGTGTGTTAATAAAATCAAATTATAATTCAAATTTTGAGATATTGAACGAACTCTTTATCTAGATCATGATAATCATCATTATTTGCATGCATGCACATCTATATAGAAATAAGATTAAATGCAGTGCAAAGATGTAAACTTTTTATACGTACAATAAATTAATAATAAAAATAGGGATTTTGTAAATTTTGGAGCTGTGACCTTAAGTTTGTTTTTATTTACTAGAGATTAGCAAAAACAGATGAGGTAGATGGCTCAACAATTTTTGAAGTTTTTATTTATTTATTTATTTTAGAAAAAGATATATTTAGAGAAAATTTATGAAGTCAAGCGGACCTAATAGTTTATAAGTCTAATTAGAAGCGGGTTGGTGTGAAAAATTTAAAAGAGCAGGGCCATAAAATTTACGCAAGTTTCTAGAAGTGGATAGCATATCCATACTTTGTGATATATTTTAGATGGATACTTATTTATGTTGGTTAAGTTTTTGTTGGATCCAAATTTTTTAGTGTCTAAGTCATTTATGTATATGATTTTTGGATTTAAACCGTTTTTTAATTGAAAAGGCCTAAATAGAAACATGGTTTGATATTTAAGGTTTATTATTTAGCCTAAATGTACTACTGTACAAAACAATAAAGTTTACTGTACGTATTACAAACGCAACTTATTCAATATATAGATATAATTTCCTCAATAACGATAATAATTTATTAGTGAAAAGTACTAATGAGTTCAAAATATTCTAAATGGGTAGAAGAAGCTTTGAAAGATGGCATTATAGCTTTTTTTGATTATTCTGTATTTAAAGACATTCAACAAATTGGAAAAGGTAATTTAACGTACTCTTTTTAGCACAATTAGAATTTTATTTTCTAATTTTAAAATTCGTAAAAGGTGGATTTGGTGTTATTTATTCAGCTGATTACTATAATAAAAAGGTAGCATTAAAGTGCCTTGGTACTAATGAACCAACTAAAGAATTTGTTAACGAGGTTGTAAATTGATAATTTTCTTTTAATTCTACTCTCTTTTATCTGATTTATCTAAATCTAATAATGAATTTGTTTTTTTAGCTTAAACATCTACGTACTGTTAGTTTTCATCCTAATACAAATCAATTCCATGGCATTACAATTGGTATTATAAATAATAAATTTGTATATGCAAATAAATATTCCTTAAATAACATTTTTTACGATTTAATAATCTAAGATCCTGAAACAAAAAATTTAAGAATGGTACTGCAATTTGCCAATGGAGGAAATTTGCGAGATTATTTAAAAAGAAAATGGTTAGAGATTGGAAACTCTTATAAAATTTCATTTAGCGAAATTATAGAAATCGCAAAGCAGATAACTTCCGGATTAATTCATTTACACAAAAATAAAATAATCCATTGCGACTTGGTAATTATTAATTTTTTAATAATTAAATTATATAATAAGTTAAAAATTATTTAAATTGATGAGTTAAATAATTTTATTTTAGCATCCTAAAAATGTCTTAATACATGACGGAGAATTTTTAATTGCAGATTTTGGATTAGCAAGAAAACTGAATGATAGCATGATCTCTTCATCTCCATCTTCAGATGGAGTTTCTGCTTATATTGATCCACAATGTCATATTCAGCCTGGAAAAAAACGTGACGAAAAATCTGATATTTTTAGTTTAGGTATGATATTCTGGGAACTTACAAGTGGCGTTGACTCATTTGCAAGTGCTATAAATAGATTTGCTGTATGTATACAAATATTGCAAGGCTATCGAGAAGAAACAATTTCTTGTACACCATCAAATTACGCTGAGCTCTATAAAAAATGTTGGGATGTTGATCCAGATAAACGGCCAACGTTAGACGAAATTTCAGCAACCCTTGATAAAATATCAGAAACGGAAGTTGAGTTTATTATAAATCATAATCGACTACCTCTGCCTGTTTTAACCAGGAATGGTGCACCTACATTGTTATCCGTTGAACCATCGGCACAGATATTTAAAAAACCTAGCTTGAACAAAATAAATCGATCACGTTTTTCTAAACGTTCACTTGATGCAACGGAATTAAAATCTCAAGGACTAGTTTTTTATGAGGCAAACAATTATGAAGGAGCTCTTGAATTTTTAAGTAAAACGCTGAATAATAATCCAATTGATGCAGATGCTTTAAAATTCCGAGGATTAACCTATTTTAAACTAAAAAATTATGAAAAATCACTTGCAGATTTAACCAAATTATTAAGCTTGTTAGATAACGATATAGTTTCTTTAATATATAGAGGGCGAATATACTGCTTGCTAAGTCGATATGAAGAATCACTTGCAGATTTATCTAAATCATTAACA